ACGAACAGCATTTCTGTCACAGTGCCATCTGGTGGCTCTTACGTTGCATTGCATACTTTGAATGATGAGACAGCTCAGTCAGTTTGTTATAGGCACTCCCTTCTTTGAAATTTAAATGACTCAAAATCGGGTCCACTATTTGGTTGACCAGGCAGTCAATTAATAGATTTTTAAGTGCAGTGCCTAAGTGAGTGCAGTGACATTAAGTATATTAATGCCTATATTTTATTTATATAGTACCCTTTAAAATAGACTACAATGTTTTCCTCAACAAAATACTATAAGTTATATATATAATAAATCAAGGTTAAAAAAAAATGGAAATAAGGTAAAAATAATTCCAGATTAAAGCAGATAAAATATGATGCTACCCAAATATGCTGGTTTAGACAATATTTGATTAGTATTCCTGGTGTATAAATTTTGCTACCAAAATGTCAGCATTAAAAAATGAGTTTTCAGCTGTTTCTCATTTTTTCACTAGGTGTCATTTTTTCACTAGCTGTCATTTTTTCACTAGCTGTCATTTTTTCACTAGCTGTAATTGAAATATTTAAACATTTGCCAAAAACATAGATAAAGGTTTCCTAAAATTGTGTATACAGCTATGAATGCTCTTAAATGCATCCCTGTCCACTAAATCAAATATTTAACACATGATCCAATTAAATACTCAAAAAAATAAACAAATAAACAAACTAACAGACAAACAAACTAAACAATACAGTCTCATTGTATTTGCCATAAAAGTTTTGTCACGTGAAAGTAGTAATAAGAATGACCAAACATAGTTTTCAGTGCTAAAACGAACACAAATTTGTATATAAGCCTAGTTCCAACATCTGTGGGTATAGGCTTGAATATTTGAGGCATAGATCATGATTGTTTAATTGAGGGTGTTGATTTTTAACCAAAAGAAAATATATGTATCAGCTCTGTTTTATTTTATTATTTTTATTTTATTGCTGTCACAAGCAGGACCAGATATTAATGAAAGTCCAACACTCTATGGCTCTTTGCACCAACACTCACTCTCTGGACTGGTCTGTTTGAAAAGTCTTAAATTCTAATTCAGCTGATGTGCCCTTGTTCTACCTCACTTTGTATTTTGTTGGGATGCACCAATCCACTTTTTTTTTTTTACTTCCGATCCGATCCCAATACCTAGATCTTAGTATCGGCCAATACCGATCCAGTTCCGATATCATGATCATCATTGATTTTATATGAGTCTGTAATAATCTCCTCTCAAGTACAGTTTGTACAAATAAATGCATGCATGTCCAAAAAGGCAACTTGAGGTAAGTTTTATTAATGTTGGATAAGTTTTATATTTAGAATTAAATTCTGCTAACACAAAACATGTTTCTTTTTATTTCTATAAAGTGGATATTAAAGTGATTAATTTAAGTGATTGTTTAAAGTTGTTTTATATTTTATAGGGGCAGATATAAGAATTTTTTTCTTCTTTCTGCACTCTTTTCATTCAATGTTTTCTTTTTGATGATTTTTTTAAATTTTGTTTCATTTAAATGAATGAATAAATGAATTAAATTAAATAAAATGTTAAATGGCTTCAAACATCTGCTAAGTTCATGGTATAAACCAACAGACATATTCTTGTTTTTAGTATTTTACATCACTTTATAATGTAGCTGTTTATGTTTTTAATATATATAATTTTCAAATCATATGTTTTTTATGATTGTCTACTGCTGTACTGATAAATATCTCCTGGAGGGTGAACTATATCTTGACTGCAAGTATCAAACAGCAACATTCTTCTTTTTCTACAACTGATAGCGGTTGGTCATTAATTATGATGAAGTTTAGCAACATCTCGGTAAACATTTGAGCTCCGTGGTTTCAGCGATGTCTACTTCTTGTTCAATCTGAAGCAGGCAGCCTGATTTGGGGCAGCCGCGCTCAGTCTGTCCCTCATCGGAGACGGGCAGACTGAGCGGGGCAGATTGGACGCGGCTGGCCGAGGTTGAGTCGCCTCTCGTTTGAGCAAAGAGCAGCCCCCCGCTGAAGCCATGGAGCTCGAATGTCCATCGTAAAACTAACTTTAACGTGGTTTAATGTGGTGCTATGGCTCTGTAGACATTGCACGATGCTGTCTTGTGGTGTTTAGTATAAAATACTTCCACACAGCGGACATGTTTCGATGAAAAGTTTGTTAGCTGTTAGCCACAGTGCAGCTAACTCAGTCCTCACGTTGTAGCTGGCTGCAAACTATGAAATGGATTTCCTGAATGTGAGGCGGGTCTTATTACTCTGGGATCATACACGCCGCCGTTCAGGAAATCCATTCCATAGTTTGAAGCCAACATGCATCATGGATCGGAAATATCGGCAGGTGGATTGGAAAATCCGATAGGTAAATTTTGCTGGTATCGGAGGCCGATACCGATACTGGAACGGATTGGCCCCATCCCTAGTATTTTGTTAACCTTTTGTTTAAAATTAATTTGCGTGTGTTTTTCAACATATGACCTTTTTTGTTATGGAAATGTTATGGAAATCAGGCATTTATGGCATCTTGTGCATTTTGAGTTTTATTAATGAACAACAGAGAGGTAACACAAGTAATACAGTAGTCCCTTGTTTATCATGGGGTTTAGGGACCACATCCCCCGCGATAAGTGAAAAACCACGAAGAAGGGATAGTAGTACAAGTTTAAGTTCAAGTAAACTTTATTGTCATTACCATCTCGTTGTACATGAGGTGGAACAAAATTATCTACAATCTTTACGCACAGCTTTTACGCAGCGTGTTGGAGAGCCTCGGCCCATCCTGGGGCCTGCTGGCCATGGAATGCTTTATCATCTTATCTGGTGAGATACAAAGTAAAAAGACCATCCAAACGCATGCAATGGGAGAACTGATCAGAGTTCAAAAGGGATAAGATGTGTGGGGATTGACTCGTGTTCTGGTTTGATGTGGCAGCTTCATGTTCTGATCTCTGACTAAAGTGGTTTGGACAGATCCAGGTCGTTTTTTCTTTCTCTGGACTTTAGCGTGACAAGTTTGACTGAAATAACATTTAGTTTTGAACCCAAACATTTCTCTACATGTTTTTATTTCCATTTTAGTGCACGAGCACCAGCTCCAAACCAACGGACGAGGAGAAATTGACTTTTATTTTTATTTTTGAGTTCCTGAAAGGATCCAGATGTATCAAAGCCTGAGCCTGTCCTCCTCCCAGCCCCCCTACCCCATGACACCGGGAGCTACGTCTACCCCCCTGCCAGCTCCCCGGTTTACGTCCCCACCACCAGAGTTCCAGCTATGCTGCCCATGCCCTACCTCCAGACCCGAGCCCCCACCCCCCCACCCCCAATCATAACAACAGCCTGCACCCCACAGCTGGACCCAAATTGCCACGGATGGCTCTTCCTGCACCCCCGGCAGCCCCCAACCCCCACATGGCTTCTCCTACCAGCACAGCCCACCTGGCAGCACCAACACGAACCGGTACACCTTCTAGAACTCGTTGGTTCTGGGGAACGGCGGCCACGCAGACCAGTACGGGCCCAATTATTATTTTTTCTTTGGTTAATCCAGAGATGAGAAGGTAAGTTCTCTTCTTCTTCTACCCTTGGTAACTTTTCTCCAAAGCGACCTGCCATCACAGCAGAGTTGCAAACTCCAGCTGGCTGTTGCACGAGCAAAAATGACAAACTATCCGCACAATTATTTGTACCCTGACAGCAAAAGTTATCTGCTGATAAATGATGTGGCACACATATATAATTCTTATTTCATTCTTAGGCTGATTTGGTCTAGACCTGGACCGGATCAGAACCAAAACATTTTTGCAGGTGTCAGGCATGCTCATGATCCCAGCCCGACCCAGAGCTGGCGCATGTGCGTAAACCCTCTGTGATGGTTAAGCAGAGCTGGTGACTTGTAAACAGATCTGGCTCAGATCTGAATGCTGTAGGTTTTGTCTGTTCCTCTGTCTGTATGTGCTGACGGGCAGGGACGTAAAGTAAGGGGGCCAATGCCCTCCCGTTCCTGCGCCACTGGCCCAGTTACTCAACAATGAAGATACAACTTGAAGGATGAGTTCAACTTCAGAATTATTTGCGACTTTCCTGCCAGCTCTGTAAGCTTATCCTTATAGTACTTTTGACTTTGCTTTACAAAACTTCCCTCCATTTGCAGAAAGCAGCAGTTGGAATCAGTGTTGACTTCTGGGAAGTGAACTGATGGCTTCTGGGTAACACAGTTCTTTAGACTGGCAAAACAGTGAAGGCCTAATGAAAGAAAATTACAAAATTATGGCTTTTTTTTTGTTGAAAATAATATGTACGTCCACAAACCATGATAGAGCGAGTCTGTGAAAGTCGAACTGCGAAGTAGCGAGAGACTATTGTTTTATTTGCAAAATTTGCTCTATACAGCAGTATGTTTATGTTCTGGTCAATAGTCATACACTGCTTTACTAAAATAATGAAAGGAATGCAAACTAATGTATTGAGTCCCAGTTGGTTCACATTTCATAACACAGCTATGAAGAATTGAATTTCTTGTAATTATTTTGAATATTGCATTAATTCTCATTGACTATTTTTCTTCTGTCATTTTAACTGACATGTTGTAAATTCAAACAGGACAAAAATGTACAAGCAGTAAGACATGTACAAATAAATTATTTCTGATTTATTATTATATGAATAAGTTTAGGGTAAAGGTAGAAATCAGAGTCAGAGTTTCTTTATTTGTCATTTACACCACACGTGGTACATGTGGCGGAACGAAATAGTGTACACAGGGTCCCAAATCAACCAAAATCAACCAAATAGTGGAGCTTACATGATTGGCAGGGTATGTTTCCACCTTTCATGTCAGTCACACAACAAGTGATGTCACTGGTAGAAAGAAGGAGGGGAATCAACATTGCAGACAACCCCCATGGCTTTGTGATATAAAATGACCACCGTTTGGGGAACTTTTTTTTTAGTTTTTAAGGTAAGTGCTCAGGTGAGGAATTATGGCACTAATAGTTGATCTGCTATTGTTTTTGCTTCTGGATGTGAGAGGAGGAAAGTCTGAGTGTCAAACCTTCGGGACAGAAGAACTGTCTCAGTTTTCTCAGGAGGGAGATATCATCATTGGTGGCATTTTCCCCTTCCACCAGTACCCAGTAACACTCAATCAAACTTTCAGAGCCAACCCAGGAGCAATCCAGTGTGAAGGGTAAGAAAGGGCTAAAATTAATTGTATTTTGTGCTGTTCAGATTTTTGTTTAACCCTTTATCATAACTGTGTTTACTGTATGACAAAGCTAAAACTTACAGTTTACTTCTTTTTCTTTTTTTAACAGACTGGAGGTGGGTGAACTTCAGTATGCTTACACTATGCTCTTTGCAATAGAGGAAATCAACAACAGCTCAGAGCTGCTCCCAAATGTGACACTTGGTTATCGGATCTTTGATTCCTGTCCTAACACTCCCATGTCCATCAAGGCATCATTAAATCTGATGAATGGGTATCAAAACATGGACGGAATCTGTAACAAACTCTCCAGTGTGCAGGCTGTCATTGGGGAAACCACTTCCACCTCTACAATAGGTATTGCACGTACACTGGGACCCTTCAATATACCCGTGGTGAGTTTTGGCTACAAACTGTAAATAATAACTGTTAAATGTCGTTCACTTTGCATATTTTCAATCAAAAAGCTACAATAACATTATACATTTTCTCGTGTTATTTAGATCAGTCATTCAGCCACTTGTGCATGTCTTAGCAACAGAAGAGACTACCCATCTTTCTTTAGAACCATACCTAGTGACCTACATCAGAGCAAAGCTTTGGCAAAGCTTGTGAAACATTTTGGCTGGACTTGGGTAGGAGCCATTAGATCTAATAGTGATTATGGAAATTATGGCATGGACAATTTTCTGGAAGCAGCACAAAGAGAAGGTGTGTGTGTTGAGTATTCAGTGGCCGTTGAGCGCACCAATCCCAGAAAGTGGGTTCTAGAGGTGGTGAAAATCATAAAAACATCCACCTCCAGGGTAATTGTTGCATTTGCTGATGGCCCAGACCTTGACGTTCTTATCAAAGAGCTTTATGCTCACAATGTAACAGGTCTTCAGTGGGTAGGAAGTGAGGGGTGGATTTCATATCGCCATTTTGCTTCTGCAGTTAACTATGCTGTGGTTCAGGGGGCAGTGGGCTTTGCAGCTATGAACGCACACATTCCTGGGCTGCAGGAATATTTAGCAAGCAGCAGACCCTCCACTGCATCGGGGAATCAGGGACTTGTCAAGCTGTGGGAGATGCTGTTTCACTGCACTCTGTCTCCTCAAGCAGACATGCAGGCGCAGGATAACATTGCAGCCTGCAGGGGGACAGAGACTCTGTGGGATGTGCAGACACAATTCACAGATGTTTCAGATGCCAGCCTGATGATTAATGTTTACAAGGCCACGTATGCTGTTGCTCATGCTCTGAACCTGCTATTGAACTGCAAAGATGGACAGGGGGCTTTTGAAAATAACACATGCACTGATAAGAAACACGTGCAACCATGGCAGGTAAACAGAAAACACTGTGCTTGATTTCACACTACAATAATTCTGCCCTCAGAAAATATAATTGTATCCCTGTAGGTGCTGTATTACCTGAAACAGGTAAATTTCACCACCAAGATAGGAGAGAAAGTGTGCTTTGATGAATCTGGTGACCCTGTGGCACATTATGCACTAATAAACTGGCAGACGGATCAAACAGGGTACATACAGTTTGAAACCATTGGGGTTTTCGATGCTTCTCAGCCTGAAGGTCAGCAGTTTAAAATGAAATCAGGTGTGAGAGCCATCTGGGCTGGAGAGAACTATGAGGTGAATCAATCCACGTTTTTTTCTTTAACGTAATGTATTAAAAATGTTCTTTTTACCATCAAGTATTTTGTTTATTCACAAATACTCTAATAGTCAGTGTCTCAAATGTATGATTGTACTCTTAGTGTTCTGACTGTTTTTCAGGTGCCGAGGTCTGTTTGCAGTGAGAGCTGTTTGCCAGGGACCCGTCGGGCTTTCATTAAGGACAAACCTATGTGCTGCTTTGATTGCATTGCCTGTGCTGATGGAGAGTTCAGCAACAACACAAGTGAGACAGCAGAGTTTGTAGCATTTACCCTGGTGCTCATTATGTTTTTGTTGGGTAAAGTCACTGCCAGCACTTTGCTGGTTTATCTGAAGATGTGCTCTCTGTACAGCTTAAATATATTTATGCTTTCAGATGCAGTGCAATGTCACAAATGCCCTCCCGAGTACAAATCCAATGAAGAGAGGAACAGTTGTGTCATAAAAGCTACTGAGTTCCTCACCTTCACAGAAATCATGGGTGGACTGTTTGTCACCTTTTCTGTCTTTGGTGCATGCTTGGCCCTGAGCGTAGCCATCGTATTTTATTACCACAGAACAACTGCAATTGTTAGAGCCAACAACTCGGAATTAAGCTTCCTGCTGCTGTTCTCTTTGACTCTATGTTTCCTGTGCTCCCTGACCTTCATCAGTCGTCCCACTGAGTGGTCCTGTATGCTGCGACACACCGCCTTCGGCATCACGTTTGTCCTCTGTGTGTCCTGTGTTCTGGGGAAAACAACAGTGGTTTTAATGGCCTTCCGGGCCAAAGTTCCAGGCAGTAATGTGATGAAATGGTTTGGGTCTAAACAACAGATGGTCAGTGTTCTAGCCTTCACTTTTATACAGGTTTTTATTTGCATACTTTGGCTGACAATCAATCCTCCTTATCCGTACAAAAACTTTGAATATTATAAAGAAAAAATTATACTAGAATGTGCCCTGGGCTCGGCTGTAGAGTTTTGGGCTGTGTTGGGCTACATAGGGGTTTTAGCATTGTTATGTTTTGGACTGGCGTTTTTGGCACGAAAGCTCCCCGACAATTTTAATGAGGCTAAGTTTATAACTTTCAGCATGTTGATTTTCTGTGCTGTGTGGATCACCTTTATCCCAGCATATTTGAGTTCTCCTGGTAAATTCAGTGTCGCTGTGGAAGTATTTGCTATTCTCGCTTCAAGTTATGGTATGTTGTGTTGTATATTTTTTCCCAAGTGCTACATTATTTTACTGAAACCCAAGAAGAATACAAAAAAATATTTAATGGGTAAAGGAACATTGAGAGCCCCTTGAAACTTTTTAAAAAATATAAATAAATAAAAGGAAAATAAAAGGAGTTTTGTTTGTCTTTTTATTTTATTTACTCAAATAACCAATTAATTTATTTTATTTATTTAATTCTCAGACACTTAATTAGCTGTTGATTGATAATGGGTTTTACAATCTTTAAGTTATAAGAAAACCATGATTTATTTTTGAAATGAAGTTGTTTATTTGATTATCTAACATTAACAGGATAATCAAATAGAAAGTGGAGAAATAAGTATCACCCTTTTAACACAAATTTTAAAAAATCACACATATCACATTAATATAACACAGTTATACAATAATATATATATATATATATATATATTAAAAATAAATAAATAAATAATAATAATATAAAAAGATACACACACATATACATATATATTTATATATATATATATATATATATATATATATATATATATATATATAT